AGACTGAAGTCAGGGACATTTCTCGCCTCCTTTGTGAACACTTGGTTGACCCACCAGGCAGGGAGGATGAGAGAGGGTTCTGGAACACATGCCTACATCTGAGATTCATTTCAAAATAACACTTGAGGGGGGAAGTGGCTGTGGGCGTGGAATTGGCTGTAGGCTCAGGGGGCTGCATACCTGCTGGCTTGTGATGGTACCGTTCTGTTTTCTTTTGTGTGATGAATGGTCTCAGTTCTCCATCTCAAAGAGTTAAAAACTGCCACATGGACAAAGTATCGTCACCGTTTCTTTCTTAGGTTTTAGAATTCATCTCCACTAAGTCACACTTAGTAGATATATACATACTACAGGCATACCCCATTCTATTGCACTTTGCTTCACAGTGCTTCAAAAGGTGTTGGGGTTTTTTTTGTTTTTTTGTTTGTTTGTTTGTTTGTTTGTTTGTTTGTTTGTTTGTTTTTACAAACTGAAGGCAAGACCCTCCACCAGCAAAGCAATTACAACTGGCCTTACTTACTGTGGTACTTTCTTTGTTAGGGTGGTCTGGGACCAGGCCTGCAATGTCTTTCAGGTATGCCTGTACCTCAGGTTCTACCAAAATGCACTTAATTCATGTTTTGGGGTTGAAAATAGAATTGATTATGCCAGAAAGTGGTCAAGGAGGTAAGGATTATTTGGAGTAATTGTCTGGGAGTTTTCACGGAAACACATTCTGATCTTTGATGGAGATTGATGGACAATGAGTAGCCCCCTGCCGTAGCAGAGCGAGCGGTGGGGTCCTTGGATACACGGTCGAGAACTTGGCTGTTTCTTTGTAGAGGGTCGTTGGTCCCTGTTCATCTGTTAAGAAAGTGTATGGGTCTGGTGCCTGTGTTGGCTGAGCAACAGGGGTCAGAGGAACGACAGAGGAGAAACTGCAGTGCGTGCGGGGAGGAGGCGCAGAGCCCAGTGTATTCAGGCACGGGAGAGAGCCGTGTGGCCCCCACTGCCTGCCTGCCCGCCTGCCTGCCGCGGGGAAAGCAGAAAAAGCAAGGACAGCCAGAGGCGGGGGTTGTAGGGAGGAGCAATCCTGCAGAACACTTCGCTGTACTCTGGTATTTTCCATGTAATTTCTGAAAAATGTCAGTTTTGATCCATTAATGGGTTAAGAACCGACAGGTTGAAAAATGCTGCTGTTTGACACGTATCATTTAATATTAACACTGAACATTGTCATAAAATTATTAGTCTTTCTGGGGTTCCTTAGAACTTCAAAACCCCGTAGACCCGAGACTCATTACATGTGCCGCTATCATGTTTTAGCTGTGTGACCTTGGAAAAGGTGTTTAATTTCCCAGCCTCGGTTTTGTCCTCTGTAAAATGGAGATAGTAGGGGAAATGCCCACTTTCTGGGATTCTGGGAAAGGATTAAATGAGATGGTGTCTGTGAAGTGCCCAGCACAGTGCCCAACTGAAAGGCCTCGATAAGGGGTAAACATTTTTGTCAGCCTTGAATCCATGACCTTCCATAGTTGGGGCCTCTAAGGAATTAGAATGGGCTTCCAAAAAATATGTTCCCCAGTTATCTCCTTTAGTTCTTCTATTTGTTTTTCGTGGCACTCTCCTTTGGGAGTACCCAACCATTGGCTCTGGGGCTCAGGAAACAGCACTCGGTTCCCCGGCAGTCGTCGGTGGTGGCATTGGCAAGAGTGCCGCTGGAAACACGGGGGATTTTGGCAGGCTTAGCGGTGTTTGCTGTTGGAGACTGCCTTGGCAAAGTCCTAGGTGAGAGAGGGATGCCTGGGCTTCCCGCTGATTCATCCCTTTAGTGTGGAATTCCGACTAACCTGCATCTGACTTGGGGGGTGGGCAGGAAGAGCCCAGGGGGCTTCGTTATAGAGGCATTTACCCCTTTGAAATTCTCCTACTGAGGGATCATCCTGCACCTTGTGGGTTTCCTCCTTTTCAAGCTGAACAACTGTGGCTGCTGGTCGAAATAATTAAACAGAAAATGTTCTGGTATTTCTGGCACAATTAAAATTTCTACTCTTCTTAATTTAATAGAATCTTAGGATTTTATTGCCAGGACAGCCCTTAGGGGACCAAGGCAACTCTGCCACGTGAGAGGCGAGGGGCCTCCCTCAGAGCGGGAGCAGGTGCATTGCTCCTGCTCACGTCCCTTGTCCCTTCACGTTAGCTGGTGAACTGGTGACATTTTAACTGTAGTCACTGCAAGAAAACCATTACTGTTACTACCGTGTGCGGATCTTACTGTATTTACCAGTTTATTACCTAGGATTGCAACCCATTTAGAAATCTCAGTGGCTTAACCCAGCAACGATTTATTTGTTGCTCACACATCAGGTCCAATCGGAGTCGGGTTCTTCTCTGCCCAGACGCTCGGGGACTTGAGCTCACAGGGGCCCCGCCATCTCGTAGCCATTTCGCAGGGCACAGGCCTTGCAGGTTGCCATGGCAGGGAAGAGAATCAGCACTTCTTCTGTGCTCCTGCCCCAAAGTGACAGAATCATTTGGCAAACCGCTCATCTGTCAGACCTGGTTATATGACCCTGCCTAACTGCAAGGGGGCTGGAAATGTGGGGGACATACGGAATATTTGATGAGCATTACCAGGGAGAAGTGTTACTGAAAACAAATGCAGCTTCTTCTCTCGATCTGCCAAGTTTCATTGCTCCCAGTTTTCTAAGCCACCAGGTTCACAGAGGCTGTCATGGCAGCAGCTTTTCCTGATACTCTGGTGGGGACAGGGAAAGCACCGCCAACCGCAGAGTCATGGGGTCCATGAGCAGAGGGACAGATGATGCAGATAATGTGACTTCAGCTGCTGACTTTGTGTGGTAAGTTTTTGCCCCCAAAGATACCAGATCCTAATCCCTGGAACCTGTAGGTGTTGTCATACAGGGCAAAAGGGGTGGTCCAGATGTGGTTAAATTAAGGCTCTTGAGATGGTGGGATTATCCTGATGATCGCACCAGGCTGTAAATGCTGTCACGTGCATCTCCATGAGAAGCACGCAGGGGGAGATCTGACACAGCGACAGAGGAGGAGGAGGAGGCAGCAGGGCCCTGGAGACAGAGATTACAATGACTGGCTGCCAGCCAAGGAATGCCCACAGCCACCAGAGGCTGGAAGAGGCGGGGAGTGGACTCTCTCCCAGACCCTCCGACGGGAGTGTGGCCTCCTAGGGCTCGGCATTGGCCCAGGGATGCTGATTGCACTTCTGGCCTCTAGAACTAGGGGGGAATACTTTTCTGTTATTTTTATGCCATCAAATTTGTGGTGATTTTTAACAGCAGCCACAGGACAGTAATCTACTTGGGTTTCCAGGGTCTTGGTGGTCAGTGGCTGTCGCTTCTACAGACAGTGCCCTGAGGGTTTGGTGACTGGCGTGAAGACTGGGAAACTGGGTGCCTGGGGAATGGGCTGAGAGGGAGAATTTTCTTTGTAGCCTCTGTTTTCACATTTTAAATTTTTTAAAAAATTCTTCATTTTTTTTTAAAGAGGGGAAGGGAAGGAGAAAGGGGAAGAGAAACATCAGTGTGTGGTTGCCTCATGTGCTCCCCCTACTGGGGACCTGTCCTGTGACCCAGACATGTGCCCTGTCTGGGATTCGAACCAGTAATCCTTTGGTTCATAGGCTGGCACTCAGTCCACTGAGCCACACGAATCAAGGCTGTTTTCACCTTTTAAATTTGAACTACATGAATATACTACATATTCAAATAAGAAATAAAATTGATCTTTAAAGCCCTGCGAATGTCACAGTAGGGGGAACATGGTTAATTTTACATGTTCATTTCCCCAAGTAACTTCAGTACCGCTTGTGTTCTGTGACTGCACTTTGAGGAATTCTTTACAAAATGTTGCCCCACGGGCCTTACCATCTCCCCTACTCCAATTTCTTCTCTCTCTGTTGTCCTTCTGATGTTTGGGCCTAGGTCAGCGATGGGAAAGAATTATGTGGGAAAACATGAATGATGGTGTAATAATTATAACTTACTTTAAATCTAAAATGTAATTTAATTAAAATTTACCTTAGAATTGCCTCTTATTCTGGATCAAGGTTTCCTGACTAGTGTGCTGAGATTTCATTTTCCCAGCCTCGGGACTGTGGGCAACGGTGAGTGGCCAGAGCCCCCAGACAGGCGGCTTCCACTTTAAGAACATAACTCCTTGGCGCCGGTACATTATGTAAATATTACCCTGATGTGCGTGTGCGTGCCGTGGTGTGGAAAGGTTGGTAAATACTGTTCTAACTAACGTGTGCCCTTTAAAAAATGTATGTTGCATAAAAATCGCTATGGAAAGCAAACGGGGTCTTTGGGAAAATTCATCCTGGTAACTGTTTTGCTCCAGCGCAAGAGTCCGCAGCCTTGTCTGCACTGTGACAGCCCCGGGGACGGCACTGCTCAGCTGGCGAGGGCACGGTGGTCCTGCCAAGCCCGGAGAGCTGGCTCAGCCTCGCGTCTCCCACACCAAGCCTATAGGCAGAGGTGGCAGAGTACCATTTTGAGAAATGATCTTGCGTTCACTCTAATTTACCAAGAAGTGCATCATTGAAAACGGGGGTACGTCTGCAGTACAGGAACAAAGTCCTCTGACCAGTGTCATAACTGACATCACAGCTGAGAATCAGTGCCCTCTCAGGGTACGTGACGTGTCACATTGAGGTTGGCTGAGTTATAAGTTCATTTCAATTTCACAAAATAAGAAATAGGTTTTAAGTATTAGTGACAAGCAAAACAAAAAAATCAGTGGTTTTACATGCAGTATGTAAATAAGAACTTTCTCAAGTTTACTTTTCATTTGAGCTGTAGTATTTGTTGTTCTGTTGCGTCCTAGTGGGTCTGATGATGTTGGTGATGCTGTCTGTCCTTTATGTTTTCTGGAATAAGTAACTGAATTAATATGTTAGTATAGTACTGTCTGAAAAACTCTAAGAGCTATTAAAATGCTTAAAAATAAAATGATCGGTTCTTCTTTTGTTCTCTTGACAGGATAATTGAAGCCATCTGCATAGGTTGGTTCACTGCAGAGTGCATCGTGAGGTTCATCGTCTCCAAAAACAAGTGTGAGTTCGTCAAGAGACCCCTGAACATCATTGACTTGCTGGCAATCACGCCGTATTACATCTCCGTGTTAATGACAGTATTTACGGGCGAGAACTCCCAGCTCCAGAGGGCTGGAGTCACCTTGAGGGTGCTTAGAATGATGCGGATTTTTTGGGTGATTAAGCTTGCCCGTCACTTCATTGGTCTTCAGACACTTGGTTTGACTCTCAAACGATGTTACCGAGAGATGGTTATGTTACTTGTCTTCATTTGTGTTGCCATGGCAATCTTTAGTGCACTTTCTCAGCTTCTTGAACATGGGTTGGACCTGGAAGCATCCAACAAGGACTTCGCCAGCATCCCTGCTGCCTGCTGGTGGGTGATTATCTCTATGACTACAGTTGGCTATGGAGATATGTATCCTATCACAATGCCTGGAAGAATTCTTGGAGGAGTTTGTGTTGTCAGTGGAATTGTTCTGTTGGCATTACCTATCACTTTCATCTACCACAGCTTTGTGCAGTGTTACCATGAGCTCAAGTTTAGATCAGCTAGGTACAGTAGGAGCCTCTCCACCGAGTTCCTAAATTAATGCATTGCAAATCAAGTCTTGCATATACTTTGTTTGGTAGAAAGAGCTGATGCTCCTTCACATTGATGTGTTTCTTGCTCGGCAGGCACTGCAGCGTGGAACTGTTATCTCGGTGGGGTAAAAACTATCCTTCCCAGCTGAAGGGGTAAAACAGTTTACTTATTATGGAGTAAATAGGAGTGAGACTGCAAAGGAGAAGTAATAATCTCTAGAGTTAATTTTAGGATCTTATTTTATTTAGGCTTGTCTCCTTCTTGCCTTGAACAATGACTCTTTTTTTGTTTTCAAGTATATTATTTGAACATTTTAAAATGGAAAGCTACTATTTTCCAAATGTTTTTCCATCTTATGAATTCAGAAGAAGCTTGGAAGTTATGGTGTTTTTTGTTGGAGAGTAACATTTTCATTTCTAAATGTTTTATAATCTCTCATATCAATGTCAGAAGTATCTTGGAAACATATGTCACATGCGGGAACTGTTTAACAAATACTTTAAAAATTTGGCTGAATTTAAACTGTATAATGGAGCTAGATACAAGCAAGAATAGTATTGGAAAACTTTTCCAGCACATTTCTCAATTCTCAGATTTATTTTTGTTGCTATTATTCATTTAATCACACAGCTTCATGAAGCTTGAGTATGTCCTCACTTTTTCATTTTGGACTTGTAAAATCTCTTTACTGAAATGCCTCTTTTAAAAGAGTGTTCTAGAATGAAGAGAGCTTATATTAGTTAGCATTTAATTGGAGTTATTTTATTTGAATTCATTGCTGTCACTAGGTGGTAATTGACCTTATATACCGATGTCCAAACAACAAGATTTTTGCATAAAAATTATAATAGAAGAAGTTTGATATTATGGCCCATATTTTTCTTCTGTTCTTTTTTTTCAACTGAACAACATGGGTTAAGGCTTGCCAGGTGAAAAGATATCTATGTACACCAAAGTCATGCTTAGATGTTGTCACTGGATTATCATAAACACAGAAATGAAATATTTTCTTACTCTTGGTTGCTGTGTAGCTTAGCCATTGTAAGCCAGCTAAAAGCAATTAATACGTAACTATTTGATCTGATCTTCGCCATTGTGAAATATGGCTACATCAAAACTTCTTGCAACACTATTGAATAATATGCCACATAATTTTAGCTAGATTATTAGAACTAGATGTAAAACTGATGACTGTTTAGTGCTAAATTTTACTAAGGTAAATTAAGACTTTTGCCTTGTTAACCAGCTGCCATAAAGAAGTCAGTGTATAGACACAAAAAATTAAAGTCATAGATTAACGAATAATTTAATATTGTACACCATAATCTAGTGGGGGGGAGTGAGGCAGAGAGAGGATGGCACTTTGATATATTTATCGGAGAAGGAGTTACCAGAATTGTTCTTTAAAGGAACGTTAGCCATCATCGAGTTCAGACCCCAGCTGGTACAGGTGGAAAACCAGGGACGAGATGGTACGATTGTGAAGGAGTTAGGGCTACCACCTGGATCTCTAAAAATGGAGTCCAGCAGGTTGTTCTTCACAAACCTCTGGGTTTTGAGAAGCCACACTTCTTTGCCATTGCCATTGCTGAGGGGATAATAGCAAAACTTTTCCTTTCCCCCGGTTTCCTGATTTATATGATATTTTGGCCATTAAGAATCTCACCCCATCTTTCTTACTATTGCACAGTGGTATGCTACCCATTACATACTCAAAATAAATTATATTATTTATTGAACATTTATTGTATTTTAATATATTGGAAATAAATAGCATGGATTTATTTTTTTCTTACCTATTTGGATCAAGGTTTTGTGATTTATGCAAATAATATGTAGACAACAGCATCCCGATATTACTAATTAAGATACAATAGCCATCCATTTTGCTGAGACAGGGAACTCTTCATGGGAATACTATGTCTTTTTTTTTTACATTTATTTTTTTAAATATTTTATTTATTTATTTTTGGAGAGGGGAAGGGAGAGAGAAAGAGGGAGAGAAACATCAATGTGTGGTTGCCTCTCATGCACCCCCAACTGAGGACCTGGCCTGCAACCCAGGCATGTCCCCTGACTGGGAATCGAACAGGTGACCCTTTGGTTCGCAGTCTGGTGCTCACTCAGTCCACTGAGCCACACCAGCCAGGGCAGGAATACTGTGTCTTTTCTTTCCCAAATAAATTATAAATACCTTGAGGACTGGGGTGCCCTTTTTTGCACACACCTTTTATATTCCCACAGTGTCCATGGCAGATTTGGGCAGAAACTATTCACTGATTTGGGGGGAGAAACTTCTGTGTGCAGAGGCAGAGAAGCAAATTCCTATACGTGTACCTGCATAGCCACATTGGTGAACACACATGCGGACTGTGAGGCTGCCCTCAAGTAGCAAGTAAAAACTCTCTTGTTGGAGACGCCAGATTTTTCATAAAGGAGCATGTTGGATAAATTCTGAAGACAGTTCAGCTACCCATTAGTTACTAAGAATGAACAGAGCTTTAGCACCAAAACCCTGGAAAGTCCCTTAGCCTAAGGTGGACCCAGACTGTTGGCATCCCAGTGTCGGGTCGGGACCCAGGAACCTCGTTCTCAGCCTTCTGGTTCCGTGCTCTTTGGACATACTTCTTGTTTGTTTTGTGACATCAGAAGGCATGAGTGATTTCTTTTAAAAATATTTTCTTTGAGGCCCCTTTTTATAGGTCAAATAAAAAGCAAGCATTTCTTTTAGATGCCCTAGATGTCAGGAAGGAGGGCTTGGGACCAATGTATAGGGAACTCCGGTTTTCTATCGAGTTTTTAAATTGCAAAACTTCAGTTGTGCACCCACTCACATATACGCAAATAAGTGCAGTGCATAGTTACCACTGCAGTATTTAGAAGGTGCAGGTTGAGAAATACCATAGCTAGATAGGAAGTAACATGGGTTGAAGCTTTAATGGAATGTTCTGGAGAGGTGCCATTTTGGTCAGGGAAGCTTGCACACACTTCCCTGTTTGTTCAGCATGCTTCCGTATGGTGTTTTGCTTCCTGCCTTTTCAGACCCATCTGCACTCAGAGGACCGTGTATCAGTTCTGCCTCGAAAGTAAATTAATGATTTACTGCTCTGTGCCGTGGAGCCTTCCCAAGGCAGGTGCAGTGTCATCTGCAAGCATGATTACATGGTCCGGTCCTGTGATTAACTTTGTTTCCTTGTAGCAATTCCCCACTAGTGCCTAAACATTTAGACATTCCCAATTTTTTTAAAGATTTTATTTGCTTATTTTTTAGAGAGAAGGGAAGGGAGAGAGAAAAAGAGGGAGAGAAATATCATGGTGTGGTTGCCTCTCATGTGCCCCTCCACCAGGGGGCCTGGCCCTGCAACCCAGGCATGTACCCTGACTGGGAATCGAACCAACGACCTTTTGGTTCACAAGCTGGCACTCAGTCCACTGAGCCACAGTAGCCAGGGCATAATAAGCACTTGAAGTTTTGATCATCAGTATAGGTGCAGTTGCCAGTTTACTATTTAGGGGATTGTATTCTACAATCTGCCTTATTCTATAATTTAAACAAATTAATTTTAAGAAACTTTGGTGAGAAACCTGTGATTTATATTGAAAAGTACTAACACTATACCATGTACAGTGAAAGCATTAATGACATTTAGAGGATGAAAGAGAGGGGGAATAAGTATTATTTGGGTTTCACCTACTAGGACTAATGCTATGTCATTTATATCTGAAGTGTTGCTCTTTATTTATGTAACATTGTATTAAAACTAAGACTAAAATTTCCCATAATTTTGTATTAGGTAGGTTTTTCTCCCCCTTAGATTTCAGTTATTTCAATCGTTTTGAAGTAATCCTATGACTCTGTCCACGACACAGTAGAGGATGTCTGTAGGGTGTATTGTTGTTGTGTGGTTTTTTTTAAAGGAAGTATAAGTAATGACAGGGGGTTTTTTTCTGTCTTAATATGCAAGGATTTGCTTAACTTACACATTGCTTTTTACTGGATATTAACAAGCTTGATCTTGCAGCTTTGATGGAATTCCACAGCCTCTGCAACACAGAGGGCAGGGGAACTCCCCTTCCTGAGTGGAGAGCAGTACCTGAGTTCTAAACTGGAACTCTGAGCTGGAGAGATGTCTCCGTGTGTGTGTGTCCATAGCTACGTGTGGATTTGTCTTCTTTCTTCAGCCCTGGCTGCTCTTTCGTTGGAAACACTCAGAAGTAAAATGCAAAATTATGACATTGCTGCAAGGCTTTGCTTCCAGGTCCATGTGACAGCAGTTTATTTTTTGTTCATAGGACAGAATTGGAAAGTTTAGATTTTTTTTGCTTTGAGTTAAACTGCCTATTTTCATGAATGTATCTATTCAGAAAATTTTACCATTTGCAAGTTTTTTTTAAATAAGACAAATGATATCTTGCTTATAGTAATTTAAGGGAAGTCACCTTGTATTACCTTCCAGTCGACTCAGTTTAAAAAGATCAGGTAGAAATTGAGCATTTGTATGTTTGTGTCTTTTTCTTAACGTTTTAAAATTTATGATTTTTTTTTGGTGCTGCAGTACAAGGCAGAGATAAGAACACTGGCAAGAAATACTTAGGTGCATCCCACTTTTTGTAGTAAATAGGTTTCCAATCATTTGGGTGAAAAGAAAAAGATTTGAAACATAATATTTCATATACAGGAACTCAGGGAATTCTTTCAACCCGTGAATCATCCTTCTGTTCTGTTACTATCTCCTGAAGTGTGTGTTTTTCTATTTGATTTTTCAAGTACATTATTAGCATGAGGTCTCTGGGCAAGGGCATACCTGCATGAGGATCAGAATCAGATTAAATTATTGAAAATCTGCTGTGTATGACATCAGGTTATCACATTGCACTTCATAATGAAGACTTCTATCAACTATTAATAATAAAAGGCATGGTTGTCTGGTCCCCACAAAAGTTTTCTGAGGGGTGGCTGGGGATGGTAGGTGGATATCTTCTTTTTATTACCTGTGTTAAATCTTTGCTGCTTTTCCCTCCCTCACCTGAGTGACCCACATCCTAGTCGGCTGAACACCACACAAGTGAGATTAAGCCTGTGGTCACCAGGCCAGAAGGCGAGTGGCCAGGGAAGGGAGTGGGAAACAGTGGTTTTGTTGATAAACTTTAAGCTATTTTGGAAGACTAGTTAGGGAAGTTAAAAAAGTGGAACTAAATAAATAAGAGGGTCCTATTAATGGGTTTCTTTTAAATGAGATAAAATGCACATATCATAAAATATCATTTTGAAGAGTGCATGCAGCTCTGTGGTTTTTGGTACATTCACAGAGCGGAGCCACCATCACCACCTCTACTCCAGAAGGTTTTCGTGTACCCCGAACTCATTAGTAGTCACTCCCCAACCCCCTCACCCATCACCCTGGTAACC